GCGAAAGAGATCGTTGAACAACAGTCTGAAGATGAAGAGCTAAAACACCTCCTTCAATCAACTACCACATCACTGAAGCTTAGGCAAGTGGATGTCGACAGCGAAGGTACGAAGATATTTTGTGATACCTCAACCGGGACTTTACGGCCATATGTACCTACGAAATTACGTCGCAAGTTTTTCGATCAGTTGCACAACGCTTCACACCCAAACACACGCGCCACCCAAAGGCTCATCCAACAACGTTTCGTATGGCCTCACATGAACCGGGACATCGCGCGATGGGCCCGAAATTGCTTATGCTGTCAACGCAGCAAAGTACATCGGCATGTAAGAAACGCCCCGCAACATATTGAGATCCCAAGCGAGCGGTTTAAACACGTCCACATTGACATCGTTGTCATGCCCAGATGCGACGAGTACAGATACTGCTTGACAATCATCGATCGTTACACACGATGGCCGGAAGCGATACCGCTAAAGGATATACAAACCGAAACTGTAACCAACGCATTTTTCAACGGCTGGGTCAGCCGATTTGGAGCACCAGCAACCGTAACCAGCGACAGAGGAACGCAATTCGAATCCAAATTTTTTGCTGCATTTACGAAACTTATTGGCTGCAACCGAATAAGGACGACCGCTTACCATCCAGCTGCAAATGGTATGGTTGAACGATGGCATCGTTCACTTAAATCTGCCATCATGTGCCACTCTACACAAAACTGGGTCAAAATTCTTCCAGTCGTTCTGCTCGGCCTACGAACCAGTTTTAAAGAGGACATTAAAGCCAGCGTCGCAGAAATGCTGTACGGTACAACACTACGCCTTCCAGGCGAATACTTCATCGACGAAGAAAAGGGGCCTCAAGCACAATGTTTTGTGGAGAATTTTCGCGAATTCATGCGTACGGTACGCTCTGCACCTACCGCTCATCATACGAAATCGCGTGCATTCACACATAGGACTCTTAGTACATCAACACATGTTTTCATTAGAGTGGACGAAATGAAGAAACCACTTGAACCACCATATAGGGGCCCATACGAAGTCCTCGAACGAATCAGCGACCTCGTTTTTCGGGTCAACGTGGAGGGACGTTCGACTACAATCTCCACCGAGCGACTCAAACCCGCGTTCATTGAAAATACGACAGAATCTCCGCCAACTAAACAAAACAACGAAAGCAATGCATCACCAGCGCCAACAACCAGCAGTAATCGATTGCCACGTAATCCTCGAACACATAAGCGGAAACAGCGAAATCAGTAGCTCGGAGTATAACTCCAACCCACTTCGGGGGGGCTACTGTGGCAACCACCAAAAAACAGCTGACAGCTGCTTGCTGAATTAGTG